CCGAGTCCCGCGGAGTCCGGCCGGACGCTTCCTGACAAGGCCGCGCCCCGTGGCCACGCGAAGGGATTACACTCTGGCCCGATTGCTCAACCTCTGCCTGGAGGCGATGAAGAAACGGGCCCCCACGGAGACGCACGACCAAGCGGCTCTTGGGAAAACCAAGTTCAGTTTCCAAAATCTCTTTTCTAAAGCCCAGAGGCTCACCTCTGTGTTCATGTAACTGTTTCCCATCTCGGGCCCTTTGAGGACCAAGGAAAACAGAGACACAGGCCCGGGGAGCATGGGGGGAGGCGGGGTGTCTCCAGGGCCCCCAGCACCCTGGGGACACGGGGTCCCCTCCCCCAGGGCACCCCATGAAGCCAGATGGCAGGTTCCCAGGGCAGGACTCAGCTGTCCTAGGGACCCTTCTCTAACTTGCCCTCAGTCAAAAAGATACAAAAAAACCCTCCAAATGTATGTGAATGTTGTAAACACACATCTTATTTTTTTAAGTACATTTTTATTGATTTCAGAGAGGAAGGGAGAGGGAGAGAGAAATAGAAACGTCCATGATGAGAAGGAATCATGGATCGGCTGCCTCCTGCACGCCCCACACTGGGGATTGAGCCTGTAACCTGGGCCTGTGCCCTGACCGGGAATCGAACCCAGGACCCTTCGGTCCGCAGGCCGACGCTCTATCCACTGAGATTGGTATTTAAGGATAACGAGGGACCCAAACACATTTTAGTGCAGACGGAGTCACATATGTATTTGAGATATAAAAGGAGACACAGGGAGTCAGCGCTATACAGATCTCATTCACATAAAGCAGTGATTCCCAAAGTGGGTGCTACCGCCCCCTGGTAGGCGCTGCAGAGATCCAGGGGGGCGGTGATGGCCACAGGTGCATTTGGGGGCGATGAGAAACTATTAAAATTTAAAAAAAATTAATTTCCAGGGGCTGAGTAATATTTTTTCTGGAAAGGGGGCGGTAGGCCAAATAAGTTTGGGAACCACTGACATAAAGTTAGGAGACAGGAAAGACGAACCTGTGCTGTGTGTGCGGGGCTGTGGCCTCCTGGTTTGAAAGGCCGAGGGAGGCAGACATCGAAGGGACAATGGGGAAATGAGATAATGTTCAAGAGTTACTATAATTGTCCTCAAGTATAACAATGAAGCTGTAATTAACATTTTTTTTAGGAGTCCAGCCGGCGTGGCTCAGTGGTTGAGCGTCGACCTATGAACCAGGAGGTCAGGGTTCGATTCCCGGTCAGGGCACAGGCCCGGGTTGCGGGTTCGATCCCCAG